TAGCGGAGCTTTGAGCGGTCTTGCGATGCTATAGTACGCAGGCGGGCAAGACGCCGAGTTTCTTCTGCAAGGCATAGTGTTTCAGCTAATGAAGGATCGTCATTGTCATAAAACGAAAAGATAGTGTCCAGGGTATAACGAGGGGGTCGAACGTAAAGAAGGAAGAAAGGGCTGTGGCCGGTGGTTTCGTGTTGGGCAGTGTTGAAGGCATACGTGATGAACGGTAAGACGTCGTCCCAGTTCTTGTGATTGGACGCCACGTACATTGAAAGCATATTCACCAGTGTCCGGTTCGTTCGTTCAGTAAGGCCATTCGTCTGTGGATGGTAAGGTGTCGAATGACGAAGTTCCGAGCCACACATACGGAGCAGTTCCTCAACAACGTCTGCCGTAAACTGACGGCCGCGGTCGCTTATTATGACGCGAGGAGGTCCGTGGCGCAGTATGATAGAGTGCAGGAGAAAGGAGGATACTTCGCCAGCAGTCGCAGATGGCAGGGCGGCCGTTTCGCAGTAGCGGGTCAGGTAATCGGCGCACACTACAATCCAACGGTTGCCTTTTGCCGAGCGTGGAAAAGGGCCCACGAGGTCAATGCCAACTTGCTCAAAGGGAGTGCTGGGAGGCGTCACAGGCTGTAGAAGTCCAGCCGGAGCAGTCGTGACTGATTTGTGCGTCTGGCATTGAGTGCAACTGGCCACGTACTGCTCAACTGACTGGCGCATGCGTGGCCAGTAAAATCGCTCCTGTGTACGAAGGAGTGTTCGCGTCATTCCCAGGTGACCCGAAGTTGCGTCGTCGTGCATGGCGCGCAGGATGGAGGAACGGAGTGTGTGTGGCACCACCAGCAAGAAGCGGGAACCCGTGGCCGAGAAGGTCCTCTTGTAAAGTAATCCTTCACGAACGCAAAAGCGTCCGGCCAAAGTGGACGCTCGTGCTTCAGCAAATAATGGCTCCAAGCTGACATCCTTCCGCTGTTCATTTTCAAAGGTGGTCTTGTCCGGGAATACTGGAGTCACTGACGCAATTAGGTGATCGAAATTGTCGGCATCGCAAAGTGTTGTAGTAAGCGGCATCCGCGAAAGGCAGTCAGCGTCAGCGTGCTTCCTGCCACTCTTGTATGACACCGTGAAGTCATACTCTTGCAAGCGGAGGGCCCAGCGTGCCAGGCGGCCAGATGGGTCTCGGAGGCTTACAAGCCAGCACAAGGAATGATGGTCTGTGACCACTTGAAAGGGGCGACCGTACAGGTATGAACGGAATCGCTGTACAGCGAAGACGAGTGCCAAACATTCTTGCTCAGTCACTGTGTAATTCCGTTCTGGTTTACTTAAAGTTCTGCTGGCATACGCAATGACATGTTCCTTTCCACTGTGTCGTTGTACTAGAACTGCACCTATGCCAATGCCACTGGCGTCAGTATGAACTTCGGTCGGCGCCGAAGGGTCGAAGTGCCGGAGAATGGGCTGCGATGTGAGTAAGAACTTGAGTTGGTTGAAAGACGTCTCACAGTCATGTGTCCATTCAAAGCTAGTACCTTGACGTAGCAGATTGGTCAAGGGGAAGGCAACGTCGGCGAATGCAGGAATAAATCGGCGAAAGTACGAGCACAGGCCTAGGAAGCTGCGAAGCTCTTTCGTTGAGCGAGGTGGTTTGCACGCTTTCACAGCTGCTGTCTTGCTCGGGTCAGGCCTGATCCCATCTTTGTTCACAAGGTGCCCAAGTACTAAGGTTTGTCGCTCGCCGAAATGACACTTCTTCGAATTAAGTACAAGGCCAGCGTTTCTAATGCATTCCAGAACAATGTCCACGCGTTCGTTGTGCTCACGAAATGTGCGCCCAAAGATCACGATGTCATCTAGGTAGCACATACAGACATTCCATTTTAGGCCACGCAGAATGGTATCCATGAACCTTTCGAATGTGGCAGGAGCATTACATAATCCAAACGGCATCACGTTAAATTCATAAAGTCCGTCTGGAGTTATGAAAGCAGTCTTTTCCTTGTCCGCTGGATGCATGGGAATCTGCCAGTAGCCTGAACGTAAATCGATAGACGAGAAGTATGACGCCGAATGGAGACAGTCCAAGGCGTCATCAATTCGTGGAAGAGGATAAACATCTTTCTTCGTGATGGAGTTCAAACGGCGATAGTCGACACAAAATCTCCAGGTACCGTCTTTCTTTTTCACAAGGATCACAGGAGCTGCCCAAGGGCTCGATGATTCTTGAATGATGCCCTTTTGGAGCATTTCACGCACTGATTGTCTATTATCTTGCGCTCGGACGGCGATACTCGGTACGGTTTTTGTCGGATTGGCTGTGCTGTTTCTGTATTTATCCTATGGCGTATACGAAATGGAGGAATGGAAGGCGTATGGTCACTCTGGGAGAAATCAAAACTTGCAAGTACTTTAACAAAACGTCCACAAGCATTCTGCGCTTGTCGGCAGTCAGCGCCTTATCAACCATAGGTAAAACTTTCGAACTGTCTGAGCAGGCGGTCACTTGTTCATCCCGTCGAACGTCACTGAGGACAGCTACTGTTGTTGGCGAGTATTCTTTAAACGACGCTAGCTTAAGTCCTCCTGGTAGCAGCACCGGTTCGTTTGAATAATTCGTTGTCCAAGGTCTGAACGACCTTCACTCACTGAAACTATGCTGTGGGGTACCAACGTGTTCTTCTTTATACAACTTAGATGGAAAGGCTCCACTAGCGCATCGAAACTGGTCTTATTGTCGTTAATATGCGAAGAAGCTACTGGAACGCGCACAGCACAGAAGGCCGGGATAACGGTATCTTCATAGACTCGGAGCGCACCGCTTTCCGTACCCGAATTCTCGATAAGTCCATGAGGAACAGCGTCACTTATGATAACTTCGCCATTTCGACAGTCTACAGTGGCTCCGCACATTCGCAAGAAATCTATGCCTAGAATGATGTCATGAGTGCTCCGCGGAAGAACCGTGAATTCTGTCACAAACACTTGATCACTCAGTAACACTGCCGCGGTACAAACACCAATCGGACACAACGAGTTGCCGCCCACGCACAGAACGTTATCGCTTTCTCCAACAAAAGGTCACCTTTCTTCCCAAACGAGCTTTGAACGCAACACTCATGATCGACACAGCGGCTCCAGTGTCCACCAAAGCCATCGTATGTACACCATCAACAAAAACTTGCACTTTGTTTTTAAACATAAGCACCGGTGGAGGTATCTCTTCTTGCAGCGAATCACCAGCGACCTCACCCCCAGCGGCCGCGCTGCCTAGTTTTCCGGAGGCGGCGAAGGGTAGCGGCGCCTAGGAGACGGCGACCGATTGGAGCGAGGGGCTGGCGGGGGTGTCAGACTGCGGTCAGAGGCTGGAGAACGGTTTCGCAGCGGCCTTGGTGTCTCGTAAGATGCGCTTCCAGGGAACGTTGGTGCTTGTGCAAAGTCGGACAGGTGGGATCTCGGTGGGCAGTCGTACCTCGGCGGCTGCCGGTAGTTACAGTACCTGGCAATGTGGCCTTCGACGCCACAGTTGTAGCAGATGGGTAGGGGTCGCTCGCCGAACCACTGCTGAGAGCGCTGGGCTGTGTAGGGTCGCCTAACCGAACGGGGTGGAGCAGATTGCTGAACGGGAGCTGCGCGCCTCTGTGGGGCGGGGCCGGGACGAAGACGTTGGTCATACCGCTGGTCAGACGGGAATGAGTCTCGGCGTGGCCACGAAGCCCTAGCTTCGCGAACGTCTGTCACACATACTGATGGTGGCAGAGGAGCTGACGGGGCCGGGTAGTAGGATGAAGAGGTAGGCGTATGACGGATGGTGTCGTGGAACAGTGTGTCTTGTCGCTGTAGTTCTTCCCGCACTATTGTCCGGATAGTGGCGGCAAGGTCGGCGGGCGGGCTCACGTCGACGCTGGCGACCGTTGTTACATTTGCCAGCCTACCAAATTTCGGGGCAATACGACGGGTCTTTAGCTTCTCAAAAGTACGGCAGTGGCGTTGGACGGCGGAGACGGAAGTGAGGTCTTCCCTGCCTATCAAAAAGTTGTAGACGTCCTCTGCTATACCCTTCAGAAGGTGGCCGACCATGTCCTCTTCAGTCATGTACGGGTCTATGATCTTGCAGAGCATCAGGACCTCCTCGATGTAGGTGGTACACGTTTCTCCAGGAGTCTGAGCTCTTTGAGCCAACGTGCGCTCCGCGCTCTTCTTTTTTGAATCAGAGTCGCCGAAGCATTTCTTGAGCTCTTCAGTGAAACGATCCCACGTTGTTAAGGAATCTTCGTGGTTTTCGTACCACATCAGAGCTGTTTCCGTGAGAAACAGCGCGACATTTCCCAGTTGGTCGGTGGCATCCCAGCAGTTGTACCGGCTCACCCTTTTGTACTGTGTCAGCCACGCATCCACATCTTCTCCTGCTCTTCCCGCAAACGGGCGGGGTTCCATATAGTGATATCGAGGTGCAGCTGGCACTGACCTTTGTGTGGTTGAGAAGGTGTGACCTTCGCTCTCGGCCATGGCAGTTGGTGTCGGTGGCAGACCGGCAATACGACGGCTCCGGCGAAGTTCGAACAGCTGTGGCTCCGTGGTTCGTCGACGTATACTGTACCCAGCACCTTCCACCACTCTGTTACGCCTGAAGTAGGGGTACGGGGGTTTATTGAACGGAAGCTGGGATGGCGAGGCCGCACCGGATAAAACTGGCGAGAGATCTTCTTCTTCCCAAGTCCACACTTCTATTCCCTCTTATCAATCCGGCACATACACGTCGTAATAATATATATATATATATATATATATATATATATATATATATATATATATATATATATATATATATATATATATATATATATAATATATATATATATATATAACCGTCATTTTATGACGTGTCCCTTAATAAAACAGTTACAATACAGTCACTTTACCTCCACATGATTAGCATAACGTCGATTCTTAAGGTACGTGGGATCGGCCGAATTATCCACATCTCTGAATTTGTTGCAGGAAACAGAAGCAAGCCAGTATGGAAGACATAAATTTGAATGAGCCTGAAAAGATCGGAGACTCCTTGCTGCATTTGAAGGAACTTATTAGTGGTACGTACTTAAGACTCGTGGGTAGACGTACTACGTGAGCATTGGACTAATGTTTACTCAATGCTGCAAGTTGCATTGCGAAAGAGCCACTGCTACTTTTTATGCCTACAAGATGATGACAAGTTTTATTGTTATTGTAAGATTTTAAGCTTCTTTACAAAAACAATAGACAACAAATATTCCGGAACGTAGCTTAGTAAACAGCAAGGTTAGCATAAAAAATCTCGAGTTACGGTTTTCATGCTGCACTGCAGCGTAAGAATTGCGAAATTCCATCTTTCACTACAGAGTAAAATCGAAACATGTCATAGTTAACACAACAAAATTTGTGGTGTTGCTTCGCCGCGGTGGTCAAGTGACTAAGGTACTCGGCTGTTGACCCGCAGGTTGCGGGATTGAATCGCGGCTGCGGCGGCTGCATGTTCGATGAAGGCGAAAATGTTGTAAGCCCGTGTCCTGAGATTTGGGTGCACGTTAAAGAATCCCAGGTGGTCCAAATTTCCGGAGCTCTCTCCTACGGCGTCTCTCATAGTGATATGGTGGTTCTGGAACTTTAAACCCCACATATCAAACTCGCATGTCAATCAATCAAAATTCGTGGTGTTTTACGTGCCAACACCATGATATGATCATAAAGGGCGTTGTCGCAGAGGGTTGCGGAAAAGCTTGACCACCTGGCGTTATTTAACGTGAACTCGTATCTAAGAAATTTGCCTTGGTCGAAATAACACCACGGCGACTGCATTCGAACCCGCAAACTTCGGGCGTGCAGCCGAGGACCTAAGCTGCTGTGACGTGTCATCCACCACTAATGCACACGACGTATAAGTATGGCGCATGAGATTGTTTAGCGACATTTTTTATAGTAGTTGGCTGCACACTTTCACTTTTCTCCCAAGTTGCACCTCCTTATTGTTTTTATTTTTTTGTATTATTTGACATAACGACAACTTCACTAGGTCATTATTTTACAAGCTCTTTTTACTTTTGCCTGACCACATTCGCGTCTTTCTTCCTTGTTTTTCAAGTGTTAAGCAGATGTAGTTGATGTGCAGTGTCAAATAGGGGTCCGTAAAAATGACACAGACGTGAAGTGCCATTTTATTCACAACTAATCCGTGATTCATTGACTCAATGACAGTTGAGGTCATTAAGTACAAGTTTGAAAAGCATGCACACGTGGTTGCGCTGTCTCTCTACAAATTATTCAACGAACAAAATGAAAACTGTTTGATTCAAGAAAGTAGCAAGACAGGTACAGCGTAAGCGCAGTCCAACTTTTCGATCAACTCGCAATTTATCCATGGTTGAGATGCTTAAGTACAGGTTCAGATGAACGTTATCAGAACATGAATATATTTAAATATCAGGCATCATAACATTACAAAAAAACCTGCATTGTTTAATTGAACAAGGTAACAAGGTAAGGAACACGGACAGAAAACGCTCAACGCTTGTTCTGAAATTTGGTTGCGCGTATAGCAACGTTTGCCGTGTTGGTTTTTTATTGGTTGATTTTTCTCCTCGTACACATTGCAGGCGAAGAGTCGTTGGACTGCCCCAAAGATGATCGATTTCTGCTGAAATTTTTGCGTGCCCGAAAGTACGACGCTGATGCAGCCTTCAAGACTATTCAGAAATACTTTAGAGCGAGGCAAAGCTACCCAGCCATCTTCGGCGAGTTTTCACCATCGAGGATGCTCTACGACACCATAATGCGACAAAACAAGCTTCTCGCAGTATCTTCGAAACGAGATGGTCTGAGGCGACCTGTCCTCCTAGTCAAAACAGGTATGCCAATCACCAGCATCGCATAATGCAGCTGAATGGAACACTGACCATCAACAAAGCATGGGTGTACAATTATACTAGCCTGAAAAAATTAGGGTGGTGGTTTATGCACTATTATTTCACAATGTTAATAGTGCTAGTGAAGGGAGAGATAACACTCGTCGGTATCGCATGGGATAACAGAACTGAACACTGAATGTTGCATAGTGAACCGGCATCACTATAGTTGTTGAGCTCGTCAGTTAATACTGTTCAATATCTACCTTTTCAACGAGTGTCACGGAGCAAAAAAAAAAAAAACAGAAAAAAACTGTTATAAGGGACAATAAGCAAGAAGAGGCGAGGGAGAGGTCAAGGAAAGTGTATTCGTTTCCTCCAATTTTTCAGTTTTTTTCTTGTTTGCTTCTGGGCTAAGCTACCGTAGTTGAAATAATCTTTATTGATTGCTAGCAGAAAAACACCGGTTCAATTAGTGTGTATGCTCTGCTAATTGGCCCAATGTCGGCCCCAGTATCTGTTAGTTTAAGCTACTAGTATAGGCTAGTATATACTAGCCTGTAGAAGGCAGTGTAACCATGCATGAAAAGAGCAACATAAAGACACAGAAACTTGTGTGGCAAGTTTGCACAAAATATATGACAAAATAAAGAGAGAGGAGACACAATATTTTTGTGAAAAGATAAGAAAGGTTGATATTTAGAGACAAATTAGGCTTTAAGACTGGCAATATGGCTCCTAGGCATAGTAACCCGCAATCTATAAGTACAACTGACGCTGCCAAATGCTCGTATCAAAGCACTAGTATTTCACCGTTGCGACTTCATAGAGTTAGACGTTGGAACGAACCTTTAGTGTTATTGTCGCTATACGTATAGACTGTACTTATTCTGAACGAGTCAAACAGCTAATCTAAGGTTTTGTGCCCAGTGCAGCGCAACGGACGCAGGCACATACACGCGAATACAAGAAAATTATTTGACACCCGTGACACATAAAAAATGAAACTGTAGCTTTGGTCCCAGCCCAAACTTTGTGAAAAAAAAGAACTTGAAATTTTGTACTTTTTTATAATTGCATTATGTACTTGTTTTTATTTTCACGACACAAATTTTTTTTTTTTTTCAGTGACCACCCTGGTCACAGCACTGCCATGTCAGAAATATGGCTTGTCTCAGAGTTGGGACGGTAATAAGATTGCCGTCATATACCCATATGTGCAAATGAATCGTAGAGACAGAAGTTGCGTATATAATCAGTGTGTATATTTTATTTATACTTACCATTTTTACCTTTCACCCTGGGGTTCTGAAGCTGCATGATAGGCGTCTGGGAATTCTAGCGTTCGCAACTCTCATCTGTTTCGTTCTGATTATAACTCCTTCCACTTCAATCCGAACTTGTTCTTGCTAAACGCCCTCTGCGAAGACAGCAACGCATGAATTGGTGACATTCGCTTTTTTCATTTTAAAAATGATGAACAGAATAAACACGTGGACAACGTGCACATATGGCCTCAAACACATAATATATTTAAAGAGCTTCCATTTGAAAGAGCGCGTTTCACTTATCTTTACATAGATCATTTTTTATTGGCTTTAAGCGTTGAAACTCAAGAAATATACATATACGGATTTCCACAATGAATCAAATATGGACGTTAATTGTAGAATAGTTTTTTTCTTTCTCCCGAGTTTATGTTTACACGCACTATAACCGCATGGGGTGCCTCAAGAGTAAAAAACAAACTTCTCTAAACCAGCCTCGTTTTTGTGGGTTGCCCGAACAAAGCGTTAATCACAACAGGCGAGCAAACACTGCGAATATCATAGAGTGATGCAAGATATATGTTATTCCTTGTGACGCCACCGGCCGCTAGAAAAACGTCCGTAGGCCGTATGCGGCCCACGTGTTTGAGACCCCTGAACTATTTCGAAGATTATCTTTACAGTAGGCTTAAACGCAGTAAAGTAGCCTTAAAATTGCGATGATTTAAAGGAAACTATAATAATTTGGAGTATTACCGTCGCAGGAGCCTGGGACACCTCCATCTGCACGCTCGACGAATTCACGAAAGCGTGCCTCATTCTCGCCGAGTGGCTGCTGCTCAACGAGGAAGTTCAGAAGCGAGGAATCGTTTGCGTGTTCGACTACAAGGGTCTCGGCCTGCACCACCTTACGCAATTCACACCGTTCGCGGTTCAAAGGCTCATCCACGTTGTCCAGGTGAGTAGGAATTGAGGACGGTAAATAATGGGGAAATGAAACAGAGTTTACCCCTTTTCCTTCAATTAAAATAACAATAAAAATACCATAAAGTTCACTGAAATTTTTTTCGTCCAACTTGTAGAGATTTCTTTAGATGTTAATAAAACTACAACATTATTTATGTTTAGTAGGATAGCTTCCTTTAGTTCCCTAATGTTGTAAGAAAGATAGCTACAAGAGGGCTTCAGCGCATGAAAAAGCATGGACTGGTGCGGCCATCTAGCGTAAAGAAACACTACTATGACAAATGACCTCCGAGGCAGGCACGCAATCTCGGAGACCATGACTATCATCTCCAATGGTTCCACGCGGGACCTAGTTATTTTCGTTGACAAGTACAGTAGTTATCGGTCATTTTGGTGCACTATTACATATTGAGTATACTCATCAACGGGAGGTAAAGGGTTAAAAAAATGCCCGCAGCTTCCCTCGGGGCAACACTGAGGAGGATGCGGAGCATATAATTGGTTAACGGGGTGTTAAAGTGCGACTTACTTGGGTCGATGGCTAAATTGGTTAACGTGGTTGTGAAATGGGGTGTTAAATTGCGACTTACTTGGGTCGATGGCTAAATTGGTTAACGTGGTTGTAGGAGGGGGTGTTAAATGAGTGAACACGTACACAAGTATGCGAAAGGACGGCGCTGGTCGAAGGGACGTCGATCATTGTGTTTGTGGATTCGTTGGAATTCGTTTCACCGCGACCTTGGACGTCGACGCGCCGTACAAACCAACCGACGAGCGGCAACTGAGCGAGCGAGCGCCGACCTTGAGTATATATACAGCGCTACGGCGCATGCACTGTCAGCTGTTGAATGCTCTCGAAGGAGAAGCGCGCGCGCGGCACAGATGGCGACGGCGCGACGGCGCATGCGCTGTCAGCTGTCGAATGTTCTCGAAGGAGAAGCGCGCGCGGCACAGATGGTGGGCGACGGCGCGCCGGCGCATGCGCGCGCGTCAGCTGTCGAATGTTCGAGAAGCGGTGCGGACGGCGCGGACGGCGCGGACGGCGCACTACAAGGCGCGAGTATAAGATGCTTCCGCATCTAAAATAGGTCGATGCCATGTGCGATACCGTGAACAGATGCCCATTGCTAATTATTGCAGGGAGTGCACCACATTGTTCCTTATGTTTTGTTTATTGCCTAATTAGGCAAGTTCAATTGATCAACATTCTAACATTCTAAAAGTTCTAATAGGCAGCTATATATGTTTTCTTACTTAAACATCCTATTCAGCCCCACCGTGGTGGTCTATTGGCTAAGGTACTCGGCTGCTGACCCGCAGATCGCGGGATCGAATCCCGGCTGCGGCGGCTGCATTTCCGATGGAGGCGGAAATGTTGTAGGCCCATGTGCTCAGAGTTGGGTACACGTTAAAGAACCCCAGGTGGTCTAAATTTCCGGAGCCCTCCACTACGGCGTCTCTCATAATCATGATTGATTGATATGTGGGGTTTAACGTCCCAAAACCACTATATGATTATGAGCGACGCCGTAGTGGAGGGCTCCGGAAATTTAGACCACCTGGGGTTCTTTAACGTGCACCCAAATCTGAGCACACGGGCCTACAACATTTCCGCCTCCATCGGAAATGCAGCCGCTGCAGCCGGGATTCGAACCCGCGCCCTGCGGGTCAGCAGCCGAGTACCTTAGCCACTAGACCACCACGGCGGGGCTTTCATAATCATATAGTGGTTTTGGGACGTTAAACCCCACATATCAATCAAACCAAAACATCCAATTCAACAGTTTTTAAGATATCTAACAAGTATGTGCGCTTTTCCGCTTTATAAAGATGTGCGCAAAATGGCCCACGGGACGCGCAGATATACCACGCCGAGGGCCGCTTGCGAGTCGAGATGTCAATGCTCCCTAACGTTTCGCGTGCAACAGATCTGCTCCGTTTGCGGCGTTTCAGGACAGTGATAAGCAGGGGCAACGGTTATCGCTTGTGCGGTTGCAAGTAACTGTGCTATCGCACCACCATCGTCTCAGCCATGCGGCAGAGTACACACGACTAAACGTTATGACACGCAGAATGTTAGGGAGCCCTCCGATCCTGGTGCGCTAGGCGCGCGAGCATGCCTATCAAGTGTTACTTTTTATTTTCCTCTTTTGTGATTCGCTGGCACTTGTGGTTAAAAAAAAACACTGCTACTTGATAAATAGGAGCTTATAGAAGCTGTTTAAGTGGATGTTTTGCGAAATGATGCACTACATCTTTTTCAGAATATCTGGCCCAACTTGTTCGCTTCAGAGTGCCTAATTAAGGAGTCAAGCAGTTCCCGTCAAATAGTGTGACTTACTCCAGCATTATTTATCAACATCATCATAGTACAGTGTATTAGTGCAGTGTAGCCGCTTTTTTCTGAAGATGTCACGAGCATCTACATTGGGAGCACGTGCATTGTAGCCTGCGAAAGCGTGTAATTGCGCGCATTAAGCGCGTTTAATGCACCACCAAGCCTTGATCGGCATATGCACACCTGCTACGCGTCATGGTGCACGAGAGAATATGTAGCTATACCAAAATTGCATCCAGACATTTCCTGTTTGAGGAGCCTGCCGACCAACAAACGAAAGAACGACGTACAATCGAAATTTTCCCGGATATGCCTAAATGCTCGCTCAATGTTGTGCGGTTTGAAAGCGGCGCTTTCAGCCACGATACATCATAAGTGGCTACTGTCGAACTACAAAGGGTGGAGAAGTATCAAAACCGCGATGAAAGTATACGCTCGTTCTGTCGGCAGTCTATACGGTATGCAGACCGCCGATCCTCTCTGATCCTCATAAATAAAGCCCTGACGACCCAGTTTTAAGGTGCCAGTTTTGAAGATGATCATAATGCTTTCTTTCATATGAGTCCAGATTCACTCGATTGCTTGATGCGAAACTCAAGCACTAGCAACTTTTTCATAACATTTGCATCAGTGACGAGTGACGAGTCAGTTTAGTTTCTGAAAGGCTTATCTTGTTTTATCCGCATGCTTTCGTGCTTACTGTGCATCGATTATGCAAGCTACGAGCGCTCATATGACTAGGAGACCGCCGAGCGCCGAAGGAACGCGTTTACCTCCGAGTGATGCAGTCTACGCGTTACCTTAAGCATATATATGTAAAGCGCGAATATATATATATATATATATATATATATATATATATATATATATATATATATATATATATATATATATATATATATATATATATATATATATATATATATTATATATATATATATATATATATATATATATATATATATATATATATATGCCCTGCCGCGGTCGTCTCGTGGCTAAGGTACTCGGCTACTGACTCGCAGGGCACGGGATCGAATCCCGGTTACGGTGGCTGCATTTCCGATGGAGGCGGAAATGCTGTAGGCCCGTGTGCTCAGACTTGGGTGCACGTTAAAGAACCTCAGGTGGTCTAAATTTCCGGAGCCTTACACTATGGAGTCTCTCATAATCATACCGTGGTTTTGGGAAGTTAAATCCGACATATCAATGAAATATATATATATATAGCTGGTCTGTTATGATGCCTAAATTGTTTCTAACCAGCCCTCAATTTTTAACGACAGCTTATATTATGCTTCTTTCCAAATCTTCTATTGATGTAATGTCATCGAAAACCAGCAAACGCTTGTTTATGACATGTTTTGTATTATAAATGTAGTTTTTCGTTAAGTGTCAAAAATGTATAAGCCGGCGGTGGTACTTTAAGTTGTGCGGAATTTTGCTTGTATACGTACACACACACACACACACATTATATATATATATATATATAGTATATATATATATATATATATATATATATATATATATATATATATATATATATATATATATATATATATTATATATATATATATATATATATATATATATATATATATATATATATATATATATATATATATATATATATATATATATATATATATATTATATATATATAATATATATAATATACACATACTGACTGTCACTCCTACTTCTAAATTCCCATATAAACCCCAAAAAAGTGGGCTGGGGAAAGGCCGCTGTGATAGCTCAGTGGTTAGAGCATCGAACGCGTTATTCGAAGGTCGTAGGGTTCGATTCCTGCTTGCGGCTGGTTATTTTTTCATCCACTTTTCTTTCTTCTTATTTACATTCCATTGGTTCTCAATAACTTCCCCTGTACATTCCTTGGCATTACTGTCTGTTAGATCTCATTAATATTGTGTTTAAAACACGGAAAACGAGGCCCTTAGGTAAACACTTCTTTCCCATATATATATATATATATATATATATATATATATAACAGTTGTAACTATAACACAGCATATTCAATGACACCACAGGCTTTTATTTTTTTGTGCATGCCATATAGATCGTGACACCACTGGTGGATGCAAATCGGCCAGTACTCCGTCTAAAGTTTGTGATACGTAAGTGTGTGCATACGTTTGTACGGTGGCATGAAGGTGCGATGTCACAAGTCAGTATTGCTTTTGCTGATTTCAGGACTGCTACCCTTTGAGAGTGAAGGCAGTTTACGTGGTCAACAGCCCGCCGATATTTGACATGCTCTTCCCAATTGCCAAGACATTCCTGAAGTCCAAACTAATACAAAGGGTACGTATATCTCGTGGCTTCTTGTCCATCTATATTTATATACAGTAGGCACACATATACAGATGTCGCTTACACTACAGTGACTCATGAATTTACAAATTTGCAATAAAGATGATATGTCTAACATTCCCTGCCCTGAAAGAAAACAGCTTGTGAAGGCACACAATGATATGACGACACTTGATGCTTGAGTAACAACCATCTAATTTAATGAGTAACCGTCCAATGAGTAACAACCATCTAATTCAATCATGGTGCTTCATAATTATAATGTCAATCATGGTGCTTCAAGAACCATGGCGTCAATCTACAAGGATAATTAGGAAGTCGTGCTTCACTGTGTTCACTATAGCGTTCAAACTAGCGACCACAGCAGCGCCAGACATAAATCTGGAAGTGAACGTCAATGCTACTTTTGCTTTTTCAATAGTATAAAGCTGAGTTCATGTGTTTAGCTAATATCTCTGCTCGCTTTGTTGAGCTTGATCACATGGCTTGACAACAGATGAAAATTGGGAGCACGCATCTGCTTTCTAAATTTTACCTGTGCAGTGCATTGTCATGAGGTCGTGATGTGGACGAAAGAAGGAGTCGGCGCCTTCAGGGTTAAACTCTTTATATGGTCTAACTTGTGGCCGTGATACACAAACTACAGCAAGAAATGCACGCTGTACACTGATATTGGTGTATTGCGTCGGCCGTCGATAAACTGATCTTCGTTCGGCCGCGCCATTTTCTATACATCACGTGTCGAATTTTCCAGCCTTATCACTAGTCTTCGTGCAAGTTCTGGAATGACCTATAGTCGTACAAAATCGGCAACCAAAGAATAAAAATCAAAATACAAATGAAAAATACAAGCGGCGCCCCATAACGGTGGCTCGCCAACCATTAATCCGTGCGAGAGAGTCGTGCCATGTGGTTTTGTTGCAACCACAAGTACCTTTTCGCTGCTAACACAAATACTAAGTGCAATAATAATTACGTTTGACGTCCCTACTTGAAAAATTACGTTCGACAGCGGCACCAACACGCGTCTTTATAAGATAACCACCGATCCAGCGGCACCAACTTGTGATAAGAGAACCACTGATATAATATGTGCGTAGGGTACCGACGTCATAAAAATGAACAAATGTGTTTTTGATGCGGTGTGGGAGAGGCGTGGTTAGAGGGAGCTTACATTTATTCTTAAGTTGTAAACGACTTTAGGTTGTGTGCGTTCTGCGGGCAATCGCAAAAAATAAAAAAAAACGATCTACTACAATTGTGAAGCTTCTCGAGCAATGAAGGCGTGGTTTGCACTTAGCGTTGCTGACAGTCTTCGTAGGCGTAAACAAAATACAAAATAAAATGAAATAAGAAACGTGCGTGGCAGTATCAAACATCAGTCATAAAGGCATTGACGGAGTGCTCCTTCGATTATCGGCTCTACCCATTTTAAGTGTGAATACACTTTATAAGCGACCCCAAACCATCCACCGCCGTCGGCGGCGTCCGCAGTCTTCTCTCTATCTTTAAAAGAAAGAGGACTTGGCGGGCCGCAGCGCGACGCTCTACCGAATAAGCCACGGACGCAACGCTGATATCGGTGTCAGTAACCCGCCTTATACCCCCTCCCCCTTCGCTCGCTCCTCCGCTCTCCTCGCTCGCTGCAGCTGCGCGCGCACCCCTCTCTCTCGCGCAGCCGCCTTCTCTCTCAATCTCCCGTCGAGAGCGGGTCGTGAGGGGGAGTAAAGTTAAAATCCGTTGGCATTCGCCAGTGAGTTAACGTAAACTCCCCCGTGTGATCAAATTGCGATTCCCAGGAACCATTACACCATAAAGGCACCATAGTGTGATTAATAAATATAATAGTGCGAATTAATAATTACCCCTCATAGCATCACCCGTGTATTCGCACTTAACCATGTTCACCCTCGGGGAAATGCTTGGGAGTTTTTTTAAGCTGATCTATGTTGTCTACTTGCGCGTTTCGATTTCATTGTGGTGCGTTCTATATCTTGAATGTGGGCCATTTCTTACCCCCGCATTCAGAAACGTTGCTTGACTTGATCTAGACATGCCACCGACTTCAATGCAGCGCAAACGCGTTTCCAACGCTGTCTTTCGGCGGTGCCCAGGCAGCACAAACGCACAGACGCGTTGCGAACGCGCTGCATTGAAGGCAGTTTCAAGTCAAGTCAAGTAGCGTTTCTGAACACGGGGGTAATAGTCGCATGATGTCGCGCTTCGCCGTCGGCTGTGGCGCCACCCACACTCCTACTGCGCATGCTCGCGTTTCGCGTCTCGCGCCACATGCTCGCGTCTCGTACCAGTCCCCCTCACCTCTCTCGCCTCGCAAGGCCGACTCAAGCACGGTCTGCTAGTAAAGAAACGACTGCTCACGCTGCACAACCTTTCACTAACACTGGATCACGTGTTAGAAATTCAGTCAAGGGTGTCTTTACTTGGCTTTTGCTTGACGTTGAAGGCAGCGCCTATCCTTCAATCAATAATTAAGAATTGATATGTGGGGTTTAACGTCCCAAAACCATTTTATGATTGTGAGAGACGCTGTAGTGGAGGGCTCCGGAAATTTCGACCACCTGGGGTTCTTTAACGTGCACCCAAATCTGAGCACACGGGCCTACAACATTTCCGCCTCGATCGGAAACACAGCCACCGCAGCCGGGATTCGGTCCTGCGACCTGCGGGTCAGCAGCCGAGTACCTTAGCCACTAGACCACCGTGGCGGGGCCAATAAATAATATTAAAGGCGAACTCTGGGACGTATTTACACGAGTTCCCCACGGGCCCCGTGGGTATATATATGCGGGTGGCAATTTCGCTCTACCACACAGCCACGCGCCTGCTGTGCGCACTGTATCACCGAATTTTCTTTTTGTTTTGGTGACAAAAAAAGATTAAAAAATACAATTTTAGGCATCAACCTTGTGAACAGTACTTGGAGCAGTGGGAGGCGCCACTCGCCAGCTATATCTCAAAAGTGCGGCCATTTTATGTGGGCAGAACCAGCCAATGGGGCCCTGAACATGCACGACAAGTTCTTAGGTCCCCCATTGACCCCTTTCCTTAGAAATAAAGTTTTCTTCTTTTTCTCCTGTTGACCGTTTTGTAGGCTATGCAGGCACAGCATTGTGCGTAGATTGCCGCGACAGGAGCCTATACCCCATTTTTATATTCATTTTTATTTTTAGACTAGAAATCCGAAACAGTCGTAGCACATGTGTGGTGGCTACGAGGGTCCCGCCAGAAAACTCGTACCAGCTCCTTTAGACCCAGAACCAACAAATTCCATACTGAATGATTCAAATGAATGAATGAATGAATGAAATATAAAAAAGTGGGTTGCTATGATGATGAAGAGAACAGGTGAATGATAGGTGGTTTCTAAAACATTTCTAAATGTCAACCTTCCAGTTCTAACAGTTTCCCACGAATTAACAGCCTTTGATTAGCGTTCGCTATTCAGAGGAACTATATATATGCTCAGCGTCTTTGGGTACCACATATCTTTAGACGGAAGACGAGGCATTGAACGACCTGTGCCGTCGCTACTATGATATACGAGTGTATACCGTCTTCGTCGCACAGCAGTTCAATATTACCGATTACACGCATTCTTCAGGTCCACCTGTTCGGCGCTGACTTGGCTAAACTGCACGACGTTGTTCCCGAAGACATGATTCCCGAGGAAGCGGGAGGAACGCACGAGAGCTACGACTACGACAAGCTGGAGAAGGATCTGCTTAGTCACTGTGACTACTTCGAGGAAGTGAACCGCTACGGCTACGGAAAGGAGAGCACTCACTGCTAATACATCGAAACGTCCACCTGTATATTAGCGCCTATTAAAGTCACACCTTGTTTTCCACGTGGTATTGTGTTGTCATCAAGCCGTAAACATTAAAAAATATATAAGTTGTTATTTGCGACTCCTTAATTGGTGGAAAACGAATCCGCGATAGTTTTACACCATTTCAGTTTTGTAGCTCCAGTGAACGCATGAAAGGTAATAAAAAAACAAAGCGAAAACAAGCACAGGAAGAGGGAATCGCTCAAGCCTTTAGGGATGACTTGTACAGAAAAAAAAAACTTCATCGGGATGTACAGTCGTGTCCACTGTTTAAGGGAACACATGCGTATGCAGCACATTTGTGTTTCACTTTCTTGCAAAAGCATGGTGGTTTAAATTTACCCACGACTTGTGGTGACTGGTCGTTCTGGCTCTTTTTGACAGACTAGTGCCCCACATAAGCATTGTTTCCTTATCCACTGGCTACTAGAGGTCCTGCAATTTCAAAGGTGCTCATTGTAGTGTTCCCTTTAACAGTGTAGAAAATATTAACACTAAAGGAGCACGGGTGGTAGGGATGCATTGTAGAGCAAGGAGAAAGCAATCTGGTTTACGTCATGATGTGCCGACGTCATTTTTGAACCATCAGTGGTCTTAATTAACGAGCCCACAAGTGATTGTCCCACCGAAACTCTTAGGAAGAGGAGGAGGAATAGAAGAAAAGAAATGCAGGGAGGTCGACCAGACGCACGTCTGGTTTGCTACCCTGCACGGGAGGAAGGCTTGAGAGGATTAAACAGAAGAAAGAGAGAAGAGGTGAAGGGCACCGTGAGGGTACATGTGCCCTTGTGCATTGCACGCCTTTAAGCGGTCACGTAGTCCGGTCATCTTTAGAAAAACTAGCAATGCCCGCGTCGCCTTGCTGGCCTGCGACGCGTAAACCTTCGCGAAGTACTTGTACTTAACAGATATTCTCAAACAGTAACTGCTCAGTGTATAAGGTGGCCAGGTTCTCCTCACGCTGCTCAATGCAGCTTTTTCACCTGGTCTCCTCACAACCTTGTTGCAAAATAAACCCAATTTAATTCAGTGGAGTTCGGGAATATATTTCGGAAGGAATTCAAATATTTACCCACTAGTTATCTAAGGGCCATTTTGAAAGAACACCTGTTAAATTTAAAACAAACGTCGTCATAGCGACCAATGCTTCAGTTTGCAAAAAAAAAAAAAAAAGCAGCAGTATGACCTGCATCCAAAGCTTTAGATTGGTATTTTCCGCTTAATTACGCCTATTTATCAAGTGCAATAGCTTGCAATTTGTTCGAACCTTACGCAAATGAACCCTATGAATAACGGAAGCTGTCATTCTGACAGCCTGTCTATGTGTTCTTCATCAACTGCACCTAGTCTGTAGAATGCATTAGAAGTATTCTATTGTCTGGTCCCAAGACATTTCCGTCTTATTCGCTCAGTTTGTATACCAAGTCGCAAAGGTTTAGCCCTAAATGCTTATACAGATATACTTGCGGTGGCATCACGTGATGGACTCATAGTATTTATATCGCGAACAGTGGCGTTTGTCTCAGCGGCACGATTTGAAAAGTTTGCCAAGTCGGATACCTTTACCGAATCTCGATTTCGTCATCTTATCCTTGGAAATATTGTTCGTGCTCGAATAGAAGGGAAGAAATATCAATTACTAGCACGCGCTGCCAAGTTCCTGACTGAACTTTTACCTACAAAAGTCTGGTCTGGTACAGTCACCCTTATGCCTCCACCGCAATCAAAGTGAATCTCTGGATAATTTCTTTTTAACATTAAGATTGTTCACAATTAAAAAAAACGAGTGCTAGATGAGCCTCTCGAAAGAATGGGCCTACAATTATTCTTTCCGGCGGTCATTTCATTTGATGCAACTGAAATACGTTTCATCCACGGGAACGTTTGCGAAGCCGTGCGTGGTTTTTAACGGGAGGAAAAACGAATACAATGTTAAGTCTATGTACAATTTCACTGTTTCAACATATTGACTTGTTAACCTTTATTAGTATTCCTTTTCATTTTATTTTATTTTGAAAACCTCGATTGCACCAGTGAAAATTTTCAAACTAGCCACTCCTAAACTGATTCGCATTGTAAAACATTATTACCTCTAAAATAAGGTACCACCCGTTTCATGGCTGATCCGCCACGGCAGTTTGCGCCAAGTCACCAAGAACAACTAACTAACCAAGATGCCACCGTGCTAGTTGCAGGTCACTTAAAGAAGGGCGTCAACGCTTAAAGTAGTTGAAATGCATCCATTGGAATCGTTGTTTTTGTGTGTTTGGACTCGACAAAACGCCGCATGGGGAAGTAGAGGGGTGGGGGTGGGGGTAAGCTCTGCGATGCAACTATGCCTCATACATATACTCCATCGGACCTTTCACTGCAAATTCAGTACACAGGTTTATGACTACGCATGTTTTTGACAATGATGACGACAAGGACCTTTTATATTCAAAGAACTGTCTCGATATACGTTAAAAGGGCCGATATGATCAGAAAAAAGCCTCCGAGATCGTAAAGTGTTTCACGACTTTTGCGCTAGGTGAAGGGCGTATCTGCTGATGCATCGAGAAAAATGCGGGTTGAGAGAGTCAGCTGCACGTTTAGCGCTTTCAAATGAGACACAAGTTCACTCACTCAATCTCTCTCTCTCTCTCTCTCTCTCTCTCTCTCTCTCTCTCTCACACACACACACACACACACACACACACACACACACACACACACACACACACACACACACACACACACACACACACACACACACACACAAGAAAAAAAGATAAACGAGAGTCTGGCTGAAGGCACTAAGTTCGAATGTAATAAAAGCTCGTTCACGAATGATTTGTTACGGTGCTCGGCGCGATTTGTTACGGCGTTCGATTCCGCGACCACCCAAAGGTCGCGGAATCGAACAGCGCCCTTGGGTAGTCGCAGTTCCTTGGAGGTCAATTTTATATATAGAGACCCGTGTACACTGGTTTAGGTGCACGTTGAAGAATATAAGTGGACAATTTTGTTTATTCGGACCCTCCACTAAGGTGAGTCTAATAATCATATCGTGTTTGTTATGCGTAAAACTCAAATAATTATTATTGCCATATACTCTTTCAGTTCTTAACAACCATACGGGCTTCCATCGAAACTTCTACCTAAGTTGTTATCAGTGTTTGAAGAATACAAGTACCACAGCACTGCCTGCCTGTTACAATGTCTGGGTACTGTTTGTGAATTGAAGAGCAGAGTGTGTTTTCCGCGATTAAGTGCTCTTATATAGTCGGTGCAAATGAAATCATTAAAAGCAAGAGAACAGAAATCACTCGTTGGTTTTTTTTAAACGTGTCACGCAATCTTTATCAACCACGCACATTCTATCTGTTCCTCGAGACGAACGTCGGCATTCGACGTCTTAACGGTGATGCCTCCGCTTTTTACTCATTCAAGAAAAAAATATTTATACGCGATGTAACCCAAATGGTTGCTGCGAAGCCCTGTTAAAGTAACAAGCCCCATAACCAGTGTCATAGGAAGAGAGAGATAAAGATGCCAGAAAAATCGGGGAGGTTAACCAGACACACGTCCGGTTTGCTACCCTGCACTGGGGGAAGAGATGAAGGGGAGGAGAGAGGTAGGAAAGAGGGAAGAAAGATGCACTTGCCTCGATCTTGTTCTTGAAAAATTGCTGAACTATCGTAACCGCTCTCGCCTTGTGACGACCTGCGTTGTGCACTGGATAGACATTGCGGGGCAGTGGAGCATTGACGAGCTTCTCCCTTCTCTCTCTGGGTAAATATGTGTCGCTAGCGAAATTCTTGGTGGGAGAGAGTCCAAGCTTTTCTGGTATCCGCCTTCCGGCCAGCGTGGTAGAGAGCCGAGTTAGCTGGGCCCGTTCCTGAGCCTCGGCTATCTCCTCCATGGTGTTGTGTATGCCGAGCCGAAGGAAGTCCTGTGTATGCGTTCTGACGGGCAGCCCGAGGGCTCTCCTGACGATTTTTCTTATGAGGGCATTAAGCTTGTCACGCTCTGCTCTGAGCCAGTTGTGCATGGCCACCGTGTAAGTGAAGTTACACCAGCACAAAGGCGTTGATAAGCCGAAGGAGGGTGTTCTCCTGGAGGCCCCGACATCTGTTCGTGACTCTTCGAAGGAGGCGAAAAGCATTGTCGGTCTTTGCAGTGATCTTGCGCAACACAGTGTCATTGGCGCCACATGATTCGATAAACATACCCATACCCAGAGGTCTCATGGTGTCGATCCTAGGTGTTGGGTCGCCGCCCCGAGTGAACAGGTGAATGTCACTTTCATAGACCAGCTTCCAACCCTTGGGTTTGCCCCCCTTTTTGTTTTCTGTAAGGCAGGAGTTCGAACTTCGTCGGGGAGCAGCTGAGTCTGGTAGGTAGGAGGTACTGTTCCGTTACATCTACCGCATCTTGCATGGCACTTTCCTCTTGCCCATCACTACCGCCGGTGCACCAGATTGTGATGTCGTCGGCGTAGATGGTGTGGTTGATACCTTCGACTTGGGCCAATTTCTTCGAAAGGCCGACCATGCAGATGTTGAATAGAGTGGGCGAAATGACTGAGCCTTGCGGTGTACCCCATGGGCCCAGCAGCACCTCATCAGAGACAAAGTCACCAATCCGCAGTTTCGCTTTCTTCCCGGTCAAGAATGAACGGACGTATAGTTATACAGTTTGGGGCACAGCTCGAGGTCCGCGCGGGAAGCCACGGAGAAGCCAGTGGAGAGCATTGTCAAACGCCTTCTCGAGGTCGAGTCCGAGCATGGCCCTAGTGTCCCTGGTACGGACGTCAATTATTTTATGCTTGACCATCTTCATGGCGTCCTGCGTCGACAAGCCGGCTCAGAAGCCAATCGTGTTGTGAGTATAGACGTTGTTGTCTTCCCAATATCAGCTTAATTGGCTGAGAACGACGTGCTGCACTACTTTCCATACGCAGGACGCAAGAGAGATGGGTTGGAGGTTATCAATATTCGGAGTCTTGCCTCGT